TAAACGAAGCAAATATTGCGCATTTTCGACGTTACCTTCCGTGAGACACAATTGTCAAACTACACAAATCGAAAAATTCAAATAAACACGTTGATCAAAGCTCACTTTATTCTGTCAAAAAGCACTCATCAGTACGTAATATCTATCGTCTTGTAATATAGCGATTCAAAAACAGAAAAATGGCCATTCCAATCACCGGTTCCATACGGACTAATCCATTTGTTCAGGTAAAAAATATACTACTTATACCGTCATCTTTATGGGCTTGTATTCAGCCCTTCATATGAATTCAAAAAATGAATCACATGCTCTCATTTATGGGTTCTGCTAGCGGGGGTCGATCAATATCTACTTTCTTTTGTTCAGCTTTTTCATGAACTATACAGAGGTTCACGATGAAGGAGAACGCGAATGCATTATTCTTTTGATGTGTTGGTCGTGAAGGGCCGTATAATAGATTGCGTTGATTGAATGTGTTCAAGTGATCGATATGAATAGCTGCTATAATAAGGAGTAATAATACTCGCAATATAATGCAAGTAATATTGATACAATAGTAAAAGCATGCATGCGTTTAATTTGCATAAAATACGGCGTTTGTTGAAATACGAAAACGCATGTGAGAACCGATCACTTTTGGTGTACTTTTGCGTGCCTCCCTGGGAATAATCGTCATTACTGCTGCAGTACTCCGATTACGAGCGATATTTAACATCTCATGAACATGGAAACCATTCAGTACAGGTGAACGAAAGGTGCACCTGAAGACATGCAGTGTTTTTGCGATTACAAGTATCCATCCGTCTGATTGAAGTGAAGGTCACATCTTGAGCAATATTTTGTGATCAGGTCGACAGTTACGGATCGGACATCGAAATATCCAGTTTAGATTCTCGTCATAATTTGCAGAATGGGAAATTTTTGTCATAATTCTCAAAAATTTGATTCCGCTTCGGTAAAATCCCCGCCAAAGTTACAGTTGGCTAATTCCTTGTTAGCCATCGATTTTATGCAAACTAATACATTCGAAAGCTAAAGCGGTCTTTCTACAGACGTACAGTGATGGAACCAAGTCTGCTATCCTATTGTAAAGACGAACCTCATTAAATACTTCCCAATAAAGCCATTAATTGCTCTTGTTTAGGAGCATTTCTGGTTATCGATGAAAAAATTTCGAACTTAATGAAAAAACGTCAGCTCTAATTGTGCATATCCATAGTTCGAATTCTTTCACGATTCAGACTAACTGCATAATTTTCACATCTTAAATATTGCCTCCCGCAAATCATTGTCAACTGCAAGCAATCAATCGGTCGTTCTGTCATATCCTTTTGAAGTTGCTCTGTCAAAAAACTAATTTCATTATGACAACGTATGCCTTCTTAACCCTAATAAATCTCACATTCGGTTTTAGTGCAATGATTTTATTTATGCACTTCTCAAAATTATTTCAAATAGTCTTTCAATTCACTTCTAAAAATCTGCCTTGGACAGCGGTGATCCCTTTTGACTTCTTTATCGTTCACTCAATGGTTTGAATCATGTTCGTCATAACGCTTCAATAATTGGTACCATCTGTTTTCCTCAACGAACATCGCTCGCTTCATAAGGAGCGCTGAAAGGTCATTCGCTACTTGACAGTTTCAAACGCTCTAACTGGTTCACTGCCGATGAGACCACTTCGTGCTCCACATGCATTTCACATCTTTCCTGTGTTTCATCCCGGAAATCCGCCAATTCCTTCCATCTCCACCGAATTAGTGAATGAATAAAATACTGCGAAAATCCAGTTTAACTGAACTCAGTTTTCGGTTAAAATTTTGCGCATCTTATCGACCCTACGTAAGAGAGTTTACAATCTCGACGTCTTAGTTCGAAAGGAACCACTAAAAAACTTTTAGAAGAATTATTTACGATCATTCCTTCACAATATATCGTAAACTAGGATTTGTAATGATGTGGTTAGAATCATCGAGAGAAGCGTTGAAATTCTAAAGCGCTTTTGGAACAGTAATACGTTGCTTTGACAACATTCGTAGATCGTTGTGTCGATTCAAAGAAACATCCATAATTCAGTTTTGCAATCGATCATGCGATCTTCCTTCTTTCCTCTCAGTAGCTGTTGCGTTCAAGAACTGAAATCACTTTTCGCTGATCACTGCTCCAGTTTCTCCACAAACACCTTGAATTTTACTGGCAACAGGCATGCAATTTTGAATACAGTTGAGAGCGGTAATATCAAAGTACGTCCCAGTATCACCAGTTTTTTCTGGGTTAAATTGCTTATGGAAATTATCCAATAAAATGTGATTAATCATGTTTCGAACTGGAAAGTCAACTGGTTTCGTTTTCAGAACGATTTGCGAATGAATCCTGTTTGGAAACGATCATTCGGATCGCTGCCGAATGATACAAACCTATCCCCAACCATGTTCTCTCCTCGAGATCCTAGCAGAGTCCTAGCAGCAGAAGCCAACGGCACGGCCTATTCACTAAAGCCATCCACGCCAATATTCTCTCCGCGAGCAATCATATCACCAGATCCGAACGCCACGTCCTATTCACTAAAGTCAATCTCACCAACGTTCTCTCCTCAAGCAGTCCTGACAGCAGATTCCAACGCCACGGCCTATTCACTGAAGTCAGTCACCCCTGATTACTCACTCACTAATGGAGTCTCTCCCGCACCTGACACCGACACTGCCGTAGACGTCAATGATAACGGTTGGTGTTTTCAGTTATTCTCTATCATTTATTCTGCAGACAATTTCTATGTGAATAAGGCAAAACAAGTTCAAATAAGTGTATAATCATGGATAATGAACATTTGTGGACGATTGATTCGATGGTGATGATTATATATTATTATGCACATTGTTAATTGGATAGTAAAAAGGATTTAAAACTGCACAATCGACTGCAAAGTTGGAAGCATAAAATTTCTCACCCAGAACAGGGAAGCCAGTGTTTTGATCAATAGTATCAATAAACATCCAGGCGACGTCTACTCTAAACGAACAAAAAATTGCACCCAAAGTACAAAGAATATGCCGTTGCAAAGACAGCAGTGAAGTTTTCATCCTTGGAAATTTGAAAGATATTCGAAATAAAAGAGTAAACGAATATACTTTGTTTGAAATCATTTCGAGTGGATAATTATCCGAAATGATTCAGCTGAGCATTCGCAAACCACTACAGCATTGGATGAGATATTGTAAGAAGTTGTTCGGGTTGTTTGATAGATAATATTCTTATACCCATAATCAGTTGATTGTTATGCTAGAAACTGCAACAAATAACTCATCAAATCGATGTAACACTTGATTAAAGAACACTCGCTCAATTTAGCTACCAGTTTCAGTTTCAAATACGTCTCGACAAACAATGAAATTCAATCCATTTAAGAGAAAGATATTGTAGTCTTTATATTCGTTTCTCCATTACACATTCAGCGTTTTCATGCATGTTGTAGAATTCCTTGCAATCTGATATGCATTAATTTATTCGCCGCAAACTTGATTTCGAGTAAAATGTTCATGTCAAAAGATATTAGGCGTCGCACATTCGGGTTATTCTCAGTGTTCATGTTTGCTTGTTCCGTCTTGTTTAATGACATGAAACATGAAATGAATCAATTCAGTTGGTGCCATTGAAGAATGCGATTTGCCGTTAAAATATTATTTTATTACGTTTCGTTTGATCATAATTTTTGTAGTGTGTTCGTATTGCTTAACATTACGATGGAAAAAACTTTTTGCACATTCATTCGATGATTTATTCCATGGTCATTGATAATAGTATTTGATGGGCTGTTTTCGTTGAGAAGAACTTTCTGTTTCGAGAAATAGTTTAGTAAAATTATCGTCTCCGTCTTCATTTCTCTTTCGGCACCGCTCGTCAGGGGTCATCACCTTGGATTTTTCTCGTTCAACGTTCGCGAAT